CAACATTTATATTAAAATGATCTGACAATATTCTCCTAATGATATCTGAATAAACATAATTCCTATAAATTAAGAGTTTAAAGGATGTCATTCTATTTTATCGTTATAAATATTATAACAAGAAATTAGTAATTTTAATAAAAAATTAAAAATTGTAAACAGTCTTACATTGCATGTCCAATATGTGCAGAATCATATACAGTTGGGCCGCAAACGTACCAAGTTAGAAAATTTTTATTTTTTAAAATCAATGGCACATTACACTTTGTTATGGGATTATAAATTGTAATATTTGTTTTGTATCCTTCAGGTTTTAACCACTGCACTTGTCTCTTTAACTCTGTCTCACTATGTACAAATCGATGATATACTTTGCGTATTTTAGAATTGAACACGTTTTTCATAAACTTATTCATTCCAAAGTGTTTCATTATTGAATTTTAAGTTGAGCAATTGTTGTTTGTAGTATATTGAAATAACGTCTATCGCAGTTAACCTAACTTCCCTGTATATATACGCGAATCAAATGTAAGTACTGTGTGTTCACGAGATGTTGGCTAGCCGAGTGTTTACGTTTTCACTCTGTTGCATATTGAGATAAAGTGAAATAGAATAATGTACATAGGTTCAGTGCTCGTATCCATTGAATTACGTAAAAACTGAATATAAAAATTAAATAAAATTATTGTATGCTTTAATTTAATACAAAAGCTTAATATATTAATTTTGTATTGAATTAACCGTTGCATACAGCAGATTAGTCAAAAATTAGAAAAATTAATTATTATTTTCGTATGAATTACAGATGAACCTTCCACGACATCATAGAAATCAAGGAAAAATTTTGAACATCAAGAGAAATAAAGAAATGTAATTATTTATCAAAAAGTCAATGATTTATTGTAAGATAACTGTACAAATGTATTTTACAAAAGGTTACAATATACCAGTATTGTTTTACAGCATTTGACAGTCAATTTAATTCTCCTTTACACACCATGTCCATTTCCTTTTGCACAAAACTCATTGTTTAAACAATATCCATTCCAATATGAAATAAACTAAGTCGGGAAACCGCTAGGAACGCCTAAAAATTGAACAAAAATCTCGAAAATTCCATATAAATTCCCAATAGCGTCGAGAATACAATAGACTTTATTTTACTATCTATATAATTAGTATTGTTAAAGCAATTAAAAATTTATTATAAGTATCAAATTTAAACTGTTTACTACATGCAATTACGCTCTAATTTACAATAATTATTATTAAAAGTGAAAAATTTAAAGAATTTGTATTATAAAAATCATCTAACCTGATAATCATACTTCATATTTGACGATTCTCTGGATTATATATGAGTAAAACAAGGAAAGAAATAGGGATAGACAACGATAGCATTAGAGAAACAAGTTAGACAAGGAAAGGTATACGGGTAAACAAGGATAGCAATAGTATCATGTGTTAGACAAGGAAAGATGTAGAGGTAGACAAGGATAGAAATAGTATCACGTGTTAGACAAGGAAAGATGTAGGGGTAGACAAGGATAGCAATAGTATCACGTGTTAGACAAGGATAGATATAGGGGTAGACAAGGATAGCATTAGAGAA